GCAAGGACAGTCAGGGCAGCCCTTTGGGAGAAGCCAGGTGGTGGGGGAGAAGGCAGGAGCCGATGCTGTCTTCCCCCCTCCCCCGAGGCTTCTCCCAAAGGGCTGCGCCCGATAGTGGGGGAGAAAACTGGATAATCCGTTCCTATTGGAACGGATTATCCGGTTTTCAATGCATCTCTATGGGAAAACACGTTTCACTTAACGGTGTTTTCCCATAGCAATGTTTTTTTTGGAACCAATTAACCTCGCTATGCGAGGCACCACTGTAAATCCAGCAACATTTATTTAAAGGTGACTATGGCAATGTAGAAAATGTGATCTCTCTTTTAAGTAATCTCAAATTCTTGTCTCATCTCAACATGCTGCTCACACACTTTCTGCTAACATTCCATCTCATATAGATACAAATCTTACAAATACCAACACTGTGTACCTCCCCAAGACGAAAAAGACATCTATTGTGGAGGTTGAAGATGCGATTTCTCCTGACTCTCCCCTGACACAATTTGAAGAAAATTCCAAGGACTATAAGCCCTGAATGAAAAAACACGTTCTACTACTAAATGTTTAAAATTTACTATAAATAACTACTAAATAAATTATATACAAGGAAAAAATCTATTGCTTTAAAAAGGGTTGTGCTCAGAGTGTCAGATGAAATGAAATTGAGAGAAGTAGTGCTGGAGGATGCCCTGTAGAGTACAGTGGGGAAAGGTACCCACGATCAGAAGACCTAAAGTCTTGAGGATTTTGAATGATGCAGCTGCAAACCCATTGGTATGAATGTACAACAAACACAATGACCCTTAAAAATATAACTGTAGGGGAATAAAAAAGTCATTTATATTGTCTCATTAAGCCACCTTTCCCCTCATCTATTCTTTCCTCTAGAGAGGGAAGATGGAGCAATAGGAAAGAACGTCACAGAGAGGTCACTAAAGTGAGAAGAGGAAGAGACAAGAATCATGTAAAGTCTTAATTCTAACACTAATATACAAAAGAATTTGAATCCTATAGAGAACAGTTAATGTTTGGTGTCTTAGAATAAATATTGATATATGGTGTGGAAAGCATCATATACCTTTATAAAAAGTTGTGTTCCAGATTTTAGCATCACTAGGATCAAAGGCAACAGCTTTGCACAGATGGCACCTCTTCTTCTGTCCACAAATAGCTATACAGTCGTGCCCCGCTTAACGATTGCCCCGCATTATGACAAATCCGCTTTAAAACGATGGTCTAAATGAGGTTTTTCCGCTTAGCGATGATCGGTTCCCTGCTTCGGGAACCGATTTTCGCTTTATGACGATCAAAAACAGCTGATCGTCGGGTTTTCACAATGTCCACCGGGTGCTTAAAATGGCTCCTCACTGTGCTTAGGGACGGATTCCTCGCTATACAAGCACTGAAAATGGCCACCGTATGGAGAATCTTTGCTGGACAGCGAGTTTTTAGCCCACTGGAATGCATTGAGGGGTTTTCAATGTGTTCCAATGGGCTTTTTAATTTCACTAATTTCACAATGTTTTCGCTTAACAGCGATTTTCCTGGAATGGATTATCGTTGTTAAGCAAGGCACCACTGTAATTATGATGTATCAACTGCATTCTGTATACTTTTGTGCATAATAGACTAACAATTGTGCTCTTAATTGCTGACAATACTAGAAAATAGTATTTTTTCCTGACCAAAGAATCCGTTCCTCAGAAACTCCAACTTATACTTTTTCATTCATATCAGACAATAATATTAAGTTTTGAATTAATAAAGAGATTATGAACCTAATATACATGTTGCACGAAGCACTAGATAGCTAATCATCTGGACTTTTAACGTCAAGACAGTATCAAGTTTGATTTTGAATGCATAGGTTCTTCATAAAACTGTTAATAGATGGGCACATTAGTTAGGTAAAAACTGAAGTGCTCCCAACTTACTGTTCATGGAAATCGAGCATCGGTGGTTCAAACCGAATAGGTCTACAATTCCCTCGATACATAGATACACTGTCAGGAAACAAGGAAAGAGAAGAAATGAAGATGTTACTCTATTCTTAATTCACATTCAAATTTTAAGCCATACATTTTTCAAGGAATAGCGCAGAAGTTCATAAGCCATTTGCACTCAGTTGAATTGCCATAGTCTGGAAGACTTGGCAAGATCAGGGGAACATACCACAAGTCCAAGGAGTGTTGTTCAGGTGAGTAAAACTGGATTTAATGTATTAAGTTAGTTCCCATTTATTGTATTAGCTAAAAGCCGTCACAATTGTTTAAAATACAAATATAATCAAATAAAATCATGATAAAATCACAGACATATAAAATAATAAGAGGCTCTTCATATTTGGGAGTCTCCCGCACAATTGGTCATGACAGGTCTCAGGAAATTAGCACAAATGTTTCTGGCCACTTTTGCAAACAGCGCTGTTCTGTATGTAATATATGGGTTACTATCCAAAAGTAACCTGACCACCTTTGTCTGAGGGCTTTCCTCCTGTAGAGCAGCCAAAATGTTACCCAGAAATTTTTCTCTGGGGTTTTGATAGAGCCGCTTAGAGTGGTCGTATTGACCAGATAGGTGGGGTACATATAAAACAAACAAACAAACAAATAAATATGACAATTAAGTAAATAGTGGACATCCTCTATCTCACCTGCTCCGCAAATACACAGCCTTAGATGCTTGGGAACATTCATGTACCTGTCGTCTAAGACAGCGGTTGGCATGGTTTGGTAACAGAGTTCTGTGAATGCGGTTCTCAAGGAGGCAAAAGTAAGTGTATGTAAGTATTGCGCCCTTGAGTGGTTTGTTTTCAGCAGATGGTACCAGTGAGAGAAATCTGAAGAGTGAATTAAGGCTAAGTCCTGGTCATTATCCAATTTGTAGAGCCAGTCCCTTAACATTCTTTTAACCCCAGAAAAAACAAAAATATCTGTAGAGAGGTATTTAGATTTTAGTAGGGTTTGAACTGAAGTTGCCCAGCCGCCACTCTTCCATTGCTCTACCATACAATGTTTAGGTAGACGGTGGTCGGACATATCCATCACCCTATTATAGTAGAATATGGCTAGAGTTGCCCTGGCTTTAATGGACACTATACCTTGCTCTGTTCTAAGAAAAGCTGCTGGGGTCCGCTGGGGTGCCGCGAGGATGTGCCTCAAAAAATTATTCTGTCCTACTTCAAGATGGTGTAGGTTGTTCTGATTCATACCCTAGATCTCAATTCCATAAAGCATTTGAGAGATGACCCTCCCTGAAAAGACTTTTAAAGCTGGGATTAAGAGTTTACCACCTTTAAGATGGAAAAATTTGACCAGAGCATGGCTAGATTTCTGAACCGATATTTTCGTGCTCTGTATCTAGGATTTCCAGCAGTTTTTCTCATCAAAATGCACTCCTATACAGTGGTGCCTTGCAAGACGATTGCTTTGCATGATGACGAATTCACTTTACGATGAGGTTTTCTGAGTGATCTTGCGCTTCATTTAACGATGTTTCCTATAGGCGATTTTCGCTTTACGAAGTTAGGGACCTTGCCTCGCAAGACGGTTAAATTTTAGGTCCCTGTTTTTCGCTTTACAATGTTTTTGACAGCTTGGTCTTGCTTCGCTCTATGACTCTTTTAATGGTCTCTGTTTCGTTAGACATCTGTCTTTGCTTGGGAATCGGGTTTCGCTTAACGATGTTTCCTATGGCAATTTTCGCTTTACGATGACAATACGTTCCCATTGGAACGGATTATCAGGTTTTCAATGCATTTCAATGGGGAAACGTGTTTCGCAAGATGATGTTTTCACTTAACAGCGATTTTCGCGGAACGAATTAACATTGTCTTACGAGGCACCACTGTATTACGTTTGTTGCTGCTAACACAGTTCCACTGAAAGCAATTCTACTAAGCTTCAATACAACAGTCTTTAATCAGGGGATACGTTGCACTGAACCCACTGGAGCTTACTTATAATAGACATGTAAGGAATACATAGTTAGTCACAGAAAACATTATCTTCATTGGGTCCTAAAATCATGACATGGTATTAGATGGTAAACTGGTTTTGAAAGAGGGCTTTCCCTTCTGTGTTAAACCACAGAGCAGATAAACAAAAAATAAAAATAAAAAAATCCAAAAACAAAATACAAATTTTTTCACTGTGCACATCTCTAGATGGTGGCTGAAACCCAGCAATAAGCTGCATCTAGACTAAGCTCATTGAATCAGTGGGGATTTGCTGAGCCAACTCCTCCCATAATAAGCTCATTGAATCAGTGGGGATTTGCTGCGCCAACTCCTCCCATAGGTTCCACTGAGTCTATGGGTCTACTCTAATTGAGACTTGCTACTGGAGTTCACAGACATATAAAATAATAAGAGACCCTTCATATTTGGGAGTCTCCTGCACAATTGATCACAATGGCTCTCAGGAAATTAGCATGAATATTTCTGGCCACTTTTGCAAACAGCACTGTTTTGTATGTAATATATGGGTCACAATCCAAAAGTAACCTGACCACCTTTGTAAGACAAGCTTTGAATTAACTTTTTCTAAACAAGTGCACCCATGAATCTCTGCAATACAGGAATATCTATATCATCAGTGCACAGCTCAGTTATCTGTTCCCGGTACCTTCATTTCCCACCTAAATTTTAAAACATGTAATTTGTACATTAACAAATTGTTTCCAAACATTTATAAGCATTCATATAACCTTCCAAGCAAATTTAACTCTCGATTTTGATTTTTAATGGTCCATATATTAAAATGGCACATTTAAAAAAGCGTTTCCATCCACTAATTAAACATGCAAATCAAATTCTAGTTCAGGGGTCTCAAACTCAATTTACCTGGGGGCCGCTGGAGGCAGAGTCTGGGTGAGGGTGGGCTGCATCAGATTTTCCGCCAAGCGGAGCAAGAGCCTGAGGAAGTTGCCCAGGAGTTTCCTTAGCCCGGCTGGGGCTCTGAGGAGGAGCCCCAGCCAGGCTAACCACCAGCAGAGCAGCAGGACGAAGAAACAGAGGAGGGAGTCCCAGCGACCACTTAGCGGGGGTGGGGGAGAGAGGAGGGCATAACATAATTTTTAAAAAAATGAGGAGGGCACAACATAATTTTTTTAAAAATCCTTCACAGAATGGCCTTGCCAAAGGAGAAAAGCCCCCATCGGTACCCACGAAATTAAACAGAACAGGGTGGGCCCCCACAGGTGTGCACGCTCACGCACACGCACACGCACACGCACATGCACACACAGAGGTCCAGCAACCTCCCTCTGAGAGCCTCCCCTCAAAAAAGGCGCACTCAGCAGCAGCAGCAGCTACTCCCACGACAGAGGAGCAAACTTTGCGAGGCGAGCCCAGGCAGCCTCCAGAGCCGAGGCGGCTGAAGGAGGAGGAGGAGGAAGAAGCACCACTGGGTGCTGAGGCGGCCACTGGCCGGGCTGGTACTGGGGGTGCCGAGAGAGAGAGCCAGAGAGCCGCTTCCCTGGAAGAGGCGGCAGTGGCAGCTGCTGTTGGTGGCTTGGAGGTGCTCTTCGAGGCCAGGCCGGGAGCGAGCTCCGCTCTCAGGCATCGCTTGGCGGTGGCTCGGGTGCTTGGGGGAAAGGGCCAGAAGCGTGCTTTGCTCGCAGGCTCTCCCCCAAGACAGCATCTCTTGCACCCTCCATCCAGAACTGCAGCCTGCCAGCTGGCAGACAGGCGGGGTGGCTGGCAGGCTGCACTTCTGGATGGAAGGTGCAAGAGGCGCTGTCTTGGGAGACAGCCAGCGAGCGAGGGGAGGCTTTTTTTGACTCTTGACAGCAGAGGATGCGGTTGGTGCTTTGGGGGGGGGCAGGCAAGGCAGGGGCCACAAACTATCATCCGGCGGGCCGCAAATGGCCCCCAGGCCGCATGTTTGAGACCCCTGTTCTAGTTAATGAAAAATCTATCTAAAAACCTCACAACAATTATTTTTGCTTTATAGAATTTTATGTGGTAAACACAGACATCTCCAAAAAAAAGTCTATTGTCAAAAGCTTCCAACATAAACAATTTGGAGACCTTTAGGAGGACAAGTAAGGCCTTTATCTTTTGGAAGTGGAATTTGTAAACTGGTACCTTTGTCATCTTTGTCCCACGGACAATCTAAAACTTTCTTGTGTTATCATAGTAAATGGAAATGTGTATTTAAATTCTATTGGGTAACGTGGTGTGCTTTCCTCCACTCCTTCTGTTGCGAAGAGGCTTATTTTCCAGAACTCAATGTTGTGTTCCTTATATTGTCTGGAAATAAAGTAGTGAATGAAGAAGCCACATGGCATGTTCCTTTCCCATTCCATTCAGACTTCCTGGTGGTCTGAATTCAGGAGCCACTACCATTATATCCCACCTAATTTTTTGGACTCATTTCTTTAACCCAAATTTTATAGAAAGTTCTATAGAATTTGAAAGCTTGCCTTACTCATAACATTTTATTGATCCAATGAGAGCTTAATCCAAAACTCTAATTACAAAAACAAAACACAGGATTGCAAACAAACTGAATTTAATTGTGCAGCTCTAACCTGACAGACACAACAGCATCACTACATACTTTCAAGGGTCTGCGAAGTGATGGTATAACATGAACCTCACTTCAAAATTTTAATGACTGCTAAGAGGTGTGAATATCTGGGGAAATTAGCAAGGCTCAACCTTTACTAGATCCAATTACAGCGGCCTGCTGTGAATGTATATTCAGCTTCTTAATACTGAGACTTACTGGTTATAAAAAGAACTATATGAAATAATTCTAAAGATAATTTCAGCCACTTCTAACAAACACTTGAAACCGCAACTATTTACACAAACCTCAAACCACAAAAACAGTAACATGGCAACTATGAGGTTCTTCCATAGGTTATGCACATGTGACTATGTATCTTCAGTAAAAATATGGAACAGTTATTTGGCCCAAACAAAAATTAACATACCTATAAAAATACAATTCCACTCAAGATTCCTATATCGCTTCTGAATTGTAAATTTTAATGGGTGGCTAAAAGTAGTGATACACAAATGTGCCTTGTTTTATAGTAAGTATAAGAAGTATCTCATCCTTAGTGGCTGTAAGAGACTTGGAATTTTATCTCTCACATATTAGGCAACCAGACGAAAGGATATGGCACCAACCTTGAAATCAGGACCTTTTCATTGAAATAAAGAAACAGGACCAAATTATATGGAAGCTTTCTGATAGTGTTACAGTTAAACCAGTACTGTGTTTCCCCAAAAATAAAACAGGGTTTATATTAATTTTTGCTCCAAAACCACATAAGGGCTTATTATCAGGGGATGTTTTATTTTTTCATGTACAACAATCTACTATGTTTCCCCGAAAATAAGACAGGGTCTTATATTAATTTTTGCTCCAAAAAACGCATTAGGGCTCATTTTCAGGGGATGGATTTTTTTCATGTATCTTCTTCACAATGGTGGAAGGCAGGGTTTCACTTAACTGGCTGGGGCTTTTTGGGAGTACGGCTTATATTATGAGCATCCTGAAAAATCATACTAGGGCTTATTTTCAGGTTAGGTCTTATTTTCAGGGAAACAGGGTACATTTATTCAAATACAGTCAAATGGTGGAGGGCGGGCTTTCGTTGTCTAGCGAAGATCGGCCATAGGAAAGCTGCTTTGAGAACCGCCGATCAGCTGTTTAAATAGCTGTCTTGCGGAGCTTAGGTCCCGAAAAAACCTGTTTTGCGAGCGCAGAAGGAGCTGTCAAAATCATTGTCTAGTGAAAATCGGTTTGCAAAGCAGGGACCAAACATTGTCCAGTGAAATTCCCCCATAGGAATCACTCTTTTGCAAATCGCTATAGCGATCGCAAAAAGTCAAAGTCTAGCAAAAAAACCCTGTCATGCGGTGTAACTGTCTAGCGAGGCACCACTGTATCCCATGTCTACTTGTATGAACTGAAAGTCTCTCTTCACCTAATAAAAACTTTTATAATTTCCTATAAAAGTGATACAGTGGTGCCTCACATAACGAGTGTACCTTTTAACGACGAACTCACATAGCGATCTGTTTTTCTAGATTGCTAATGCGACCGACTGCATTGTAATGTTTTAATGGGTAAAACATCGCATTGTGATGATCGGTAAGCGTTATGCTTACCGATCTTCACATTGCGATTTTTTTTAAACAGCTGAACAGCTGTTCCAAAATGGCCGCCGGGCGCCCAAAATGGCCACCGCAAGTGTTTTCGCGCCCTGCCCTCGCTTATCAAGGGCGCGCAAATGGCGGCGCTATGCAGGAACTTCGCTGAACGGTGAGTTTGGGAGCCATAGGAATGCATTAAACAAAGTTCAATGTGTTTCTATGGCTTTTTCCGTTCCGTTTAGCGATGTTTCTGCATAGCGATGATTAATCCGCAACGGATTAACGTCGCTATGCGGGGCACCACTGCAAAACCTGTGTAAGTATTTCACATTCATATCTGTCAGGTTACTTTTACTGCTTCCCAAATCCTTAAAGGGCCAGCTCATATGATCTCTTAAGATGGCATCTCAAAGTCTTACGCCTGTGCATAGAGCAGGTACATATTCATCTGGTGGGGAAAGTATCAGCAACTGAACTATAATGACCATTTTAGACACATATCTTCAAGATATCCAAATATCATAAATGTTAGACATTCTGGACATAAAAACTGGGTAGAAATCAGTATGAGAAATAGGAGTATTCCCATGAATTAAACTAGTAGTATTTATGGATCACTTAAATTGCTTCTGTCTATGGAAGGAATTCAATCAATGGGAGGATTCCACTTACATCAGGTAAAGGTAGATGACTTTTGCTACTCCCTTTAGCTGAAATCAGCTCCAGAAGCGGGGGTCATCCAAAGAATACAGACAGTGGAACAGGAAGCTGGAGTAGGAATTGGCAAAAATCACTCCACACTTTTACTGTTAGAAGAATGTTTTCCTACATCAATCCATGAATGGAAGAACTCCTATTTGCTGATGGGAACTACTGAATAATATCCATAATGATTTTACAGCATTCATTATTAATACATTAAAGCAAGAGGAAGGATAATTCTAAGCATTGTTTGGAATTAAATGAAACAATTGCACTTTGGAAAACATCTTACCTTTTCTGTTGGTACGAACTGAGGCCAATAGCTGTCTCAGTCTGAAAAGAAAAGAATTGCAAACTTCAGAAGCAAGATATGTTCTTGCCAAAGAGTTACTAATAAGTGATCAAAAAATCCCGAAAATGGAAATGAAATACATCCTGCATATCAAATTCATCTCTTAAATATTAACTTTCCGAGGATGAGAAGCTCACAACTGATGAATCTTGCAATACATATTATTTTCCAGCTCAGTGTATGCCAATTTACATGAGGATCCTATACAAGTTTACTTAAAGAAATATACCATTGTAGAGCTAGAAGGGATCCCAAAGGTCATTAAATCCCATCTTCTGCCATCACTCTGTACTTTATTTAGAGGAAGTCTGATATGAGTCAATGGAAATTATTCTTATGTGCATGTTTAATATCTCACAGGTTATTAGCTGACTACTGAAGTCTAGCACATCGAAGTTCTATCTTGAACTTAATGATAACGAATGATGTTTATATGGTTCAAACGGCATCTGAGTCCAAAAACAATCAAAACAGCATGCCAGTCCTTTAAGAGGCCTTCAATATGCTGGCTCCATGGCTTAGGTATCTGACTGCAGAACCAGAGGTTGGAAGTTTGGTTTCCTATTATGTATCCCAGAAGAGCCAGCCTGTGCGACCATAAGCAAATATTGCACAGTTCCTGGGTGTCTGTAGAAGAAGGCAAACTACTTCTGTGTATTCTCTACTGAGAAAATCCTGAAAAAGGTTGCTGTGAGTCAGAATTGATTTGAAGGCATGCAATTATTAATTAATATGCAGTAAGTGACTTACATCTTATATACAGACCTTTCAGGTAGAACAATGTACAAAATGACTGCCATATACTGCCATATAATGGTATATGACTCAAGTAGTAACTTGCAGTGATCAGAAAACTAATTTTAGAATTAAAGCTTTTAGAAGATATTTGTAGGAACTGACTCTATTAGCCATGTTTTGTAAACACTGGAGAATAGATCAATGATGTATTTGTTAGAGCAAAAACATAGCAGAAGCTTACATAAACACATGGGCAAGCATCCTAATGGGGAAAACTATATGCTTAAGGGCAGTAATGAAAGTGATTTCTCCCTTTTGCCTGCCAATGACTGTCTGATCATATGGATGACCAGGCACATAATTATTTACCCTATGAGCAAACAAGGAGGATTGGGTAATGGTCTGCTAACAAGACAGATTCACTTGCACAATTGCCCACACATGAACACACAGGGCAATAGAATTCTGATCATGGAAAATTAATCCCAACTGGATGGTTCTAGCACATTTTAATGTCTGAAGTATACTAAGTAAGAGTTAGATATCTGACTACAGACTCGGAAGTTAAATCCCTAACTATGTCTCTCAGGAGAAGAGTCAGCTTGTGCAGACTTAGGAAAGCTGCACAGTGTCTTGGTGCAACAGAAGCAGGGAATAGCTAATTCTGAATAGCTAATTGCTTTTTTTAAAACCATACTGAATCAACACAGGATAAAGCAATCTAAACAATAAGCATAACTTAATTATTACATATCTTAGCCAGACAAATGATGCAGCACCTTCCATAATAACTCACTTGTTACACTTCTCTACTATATTGCAACACATAAAACACAATAAAAAGAGACCTGCTAACTTACTAATTAGTCACAAGTAGACACAAGCATAAACCACAGTTTGGCAGTTTGGCCCAGTTTGGTGCTGTGTTCCCACAGGTGTTCCATGGGCACTGCACACTCCCCCCTCCTATCCCCACTGCGCGCACACCAATTCCCTAAGCAATGCACGCTTCCCTCCCTGCTTCCTCTATGTGGCTGCCCACTCACCAATTGCAGCACAAGCTTCCTCCATCTCCTCTGGAGGATGCTCACTCAGCTGATGAGGTGTGACAGGGAAGCCTACAACTTTGAATGGGCAGTCGCCGGAGGAAGGAAGCATGCAGAGCCATTGCCAAGTCGGCAGTTGTGCTGAGGAGGCAGGCAGGGAAGTCCTCCTTGCCCACGGAACGGGTGAGCTTTCAGACAAGGCACACCAGGGGAGTGCACAGCGCCTGTGGAACAACTGTGTGGGCATGGTGCCAAATGGGCTGAACCACTGAAGTGTGGTTCGTTTCCATCTCTAATCAGAAATCAAAACAGCCACAAGACATCCAACTTCAACAGTGCTGGGGTTAGGGGCACCAGACCCGTGTAGTTCAAAATTAGTGTATAACTCTTATGACTAGAGACAGAGACAACAGCACAACTAGAGACAGAGACAACAGTTCTCTCTACTGGGGGTTCTCTTCCATAGTGATGAAAATGATTTCCAGACAATATCGTGCATAATGATAGTTGAATTAGAGATACTGTGTTTGGGGGCAAGTAGACCATTTTGAAGCCTTCAATCCTGAACTTGTGGGGCTTTGGGGTGGCTAGGGACACAGCATTCATTTATTGAAAAAAAATCTGTATAATTAAAACTGGTATACTTGGACCCATGAAATTCAAGGGAGAAGTGTAGTAGTTAGAACCAGCATTTCAGATTATTCTTGGAAACCAAGAAGCAGCTAAGAGAAATCTTCCAGTACTTGAGTACAGTAATGTGATCTGAAGCTAACCTAAAGGGCAGCATTTCAGATACTACACATTTGACTTCTCTTGTAAGGACATTCATTCTGATGATAATGAAGTTTAATGTTGGCCAGGGTGTGTTTTAAAAACCAGTAAGATAATAGTGCACTAGAACAAGAACTGGTGCTGTTTTCTTACAGTACACTTATTTAAAATATTTTAAGCTCACTTTTCTTCTTAAAAACCGGAAGGTGGTTTACATCATTAAAAGGACAATATTTGAAAGCTAAAAATGGTAAGCACACAAGTGTTTAAAAAGAATTAAACAAGTATTATATTAAAAACAGTAAATAAAATCAGTACTAAAAACACACTTAAAAGCAACAGAGAAAATTGAAGATGACTATCAGAACAAGCACTATATATGGGAATACTATAAGAGCAGATTAAATAGACTAGAGGTAGTTGAACAGACTGATACACCAGTCAAGTTTAGATGAGAATTAATCCAAGTAATCTTGTAATATGAGAATTAACCCTATTTTCCTGAATTGCACAAGGAACATGCAATCTTCAGAAAATCTACTCAACAATATTGATTTTGACAATTATGAACTGACTATGCTACAGTAATTCAAACCAATTTTTTCAAAAGGACTTGGTAGATTTTTTTAAAATTAATTTTTATCCATTTTCAATGGAAATAGGATTGGGGTTGGGAGTAGGGGGGTAGGGGAAATGGAAAGGTAAAATTCCAGAGAGCAAGAATATTTTGTACCATTGCTCTTACAATTATACTAAGAGGAAGATCACAAAAAAAATAAGCAATTTAACACAGTTTTTATTCATACTCTTTTTTAAAATCCATACTTTCCAATCCATATTTCGAGTCCAGCTATAAAATCGTTCCCAGTTTTTGAGACTTTTTTGAGATGAACTTTCACTCAATGCTTCTGTTAGTACATCAATCTCTGCACTTCCAGTATCTTTTCTATCAATTCCTCTAGGGACAGTATTTCTTCTTTTCTCCAGTATTTCCCATATAGTATCCTAGCTGCATTAATTGCATGTGTTATCAAAGATCTCATTTCTTTATCTACAATATCAGGCATAAAGGTAAAAGTTCCCCTTGACATTTTTAGTTCAGTCATGTCCAACTCTAGGGGGCGGTGCTCATCCCGTTTTCAAGCCGTAGAGCCAGCGCTTGTCCGAAGACAGTTTCCATTGTCACATGGCCAGCGTGACTAGGGAACACCGTTTTACCTTCCCACCGAGATGGTACCTATTTATCTACTTGCATTTACATGCTTTCAAACCGCTAGGTTGGCAAGCAGCTGGGACAAAGCGACGGGAGCTCACTCCGTCGCGTGGATTCGATCTTATTTATTTATTTATTTAATTTGTACCCCCGCCTAACTGGTGCACTGGACCACTCTAGGCAGGTAGATCTTACGACTGCTTGGTCTTCTGACCCTGCAGCACACAGGCTTCTGCTGTTTAGCCCGCAGTGCCACCACATCCCTTATCATGCATAATATTCAATAAAAACAATTCGGGTTTAAATGGTATTGCACAAGATATAATTTCTTTGTAACATTTCATGTATTGATCTCCAATATTTTTTGTTTCCTTACATGTCCACCAGATTTGATAAAAAGTACCCTCCTGCATTTACATTTCCAACACTTGTTGGAAACATTTTCATATATTTTAGACAGTTTGGCTGGAGTCATATGCCATCTATAAAACACCTTATATATATTTTATTTAAAATTTACTGATTTTGTAAGTTTAACATTAATGTAACTTTCTGCAGCAAATTCTTTCAAATAAAGTATTTCCTATTGCGCACAACAGCCCAATGGCACATGATAGGAAATGCTTACATCAACGTTTTAACTTGTACTAAATAACTGTTAAAAGTCATGCTGATGGTGTTACACTGGCAGGCTTCACTAAGAAGATTCTGGATAGTGCTGTTATGCGCCATCAAGTTGTTCTCCACTTGCAGGTACCCTAACAGAATTTCGGTTGTATGTCAGACGCTCAAGGAGTGGTTTACCGCTACTTCTCTCCAGTGAGTTTCTACATCTAAGTATGGATGCTATTAGTGTTCTAGTTTTTAAAAAAATACATGAGGAATTTGGTTATTCCTTTTGTTAACAGAGCACAAGCAGAAAGACAAAAGGTTGGAGAGATATAGCCCAGTGTCACCAACTCTCCTTAGGATACAAAGTCTTGCCCCTCTGTAGCCAAAAGTGATATCTCCAGATGCATCTTAAAAAGAGTGAAGTTCACTCACAAATATCTGCTGCAATTACTTATAATCAGAAGATAAAGAACAAACATGGAGCTGTTTTTCAAAAAGTGGTCAGGGAAGCAAAGGAGCAAACAACAAAGGTACCAGAAAAACAAACAGAAGAAACTGACTGATCGAACGACAAGCGGCAGGAAAAAGTCTACCAATCAAA